TGTTGAATCAAAGTATATGTAAACATCATGCTGTAGTTTTCCCATCTTTTGAATCAGACCCTTAGGATAAATTCCCAGAAGGACTATTATTGATGACTTAGGATAATGAATGTAACACTCAGTCTTTTGTAAGTGAATTTGATCCACACAAAATTCTAGGTCGGGCAGAATAGATAGGATGATCCTTGCCAAGGAGTCATTTTCATAAGGTCCCAAAGCCAGTAAGTGGCAGAGTGTAAAGAACAGGTCCTTGGGTCTTGCCATCTGCTTGCCTTATTTGTAGGGATATTAAATTTAGATGGTACCATTTCCTGTTGGGTGGCTGTCTCTTTAAATGTTGCTGTTCTGAGATACATATAACAAGCTGGTAGAATGTATATCTCTGTAAAAACAAAACAAAACAAAGTAACCCTTACATCTATGAGCCTTTGTTTCAACATCTATCAAATGGGCGTAAGGATCTTTTGGCTCTGTGGGCAGATGGGGAGGAAGCTGGTTTCTATCTCTCCCCTGATCCATCGTTCCCATGCTCTGTGCACAGTCATTTATGAGACTGAGGAGGGTGAATGAAAGCCAGTCCTTGCACATGACAGCGACAGCAGCAGCTGACAATACCTTGGCTGTTTAATGCCCCTCACTGGCTGACCTGGAAGCTCTTTAATGGTTGTAGCATATGAAAGAGAAGTCTGCTAAACGTAGCTCCCAAATGTACTGGCGAGTTCATGGGCTAACCCCTCCAGGAAGAAGAGGGCATTGACTAACACCGGAAATGCCTTGCTTATGATGGATTTTCAAGTGTCAAAGACCCCCACCCCCAACTCTGAGACCCGAGAATGACACCATCTGGATGAGGTCTTTCCAAGCCCTGAGGAGAAGCCACCCAGGTACGACACACATGGTCCACAGCCCTGGCTTCCAGGCCCGGCTCTGCCACTGAAGGGCTGTGTGGCCTTGGCCACGTTCTCCTACCTGTACTATGGAGCAGGGGGATAATGTGCTCTCCACTGCCCCGTGGAAGTTCTAAAGTTCTATGTTCAATGAAAGGTGGGGATGGCTGTCAGAATTAACAATACAAAGTAGGTGCCTTTTTAGTTCCTGTTGGCTCGAGTTTCTGCCTCCTGGACAGAAACTGGGAAATAGGTGTATTTCTGACTCCCTGGCCTGGCTCATAGAATCACAGAGCTGTGGGTGGCTGGCAGGAAACCTCAGTGATTATCAAGACCCATGTCCTAGCTCCCTCACTCTTTCAACAAAAATTCACTATGCACTGATCGTGAATAGAAGGGTATCGCTGGGGTGGCAGCTATTGTGTTTGCTGATTAATCCATGGCACCTAGAGCAGTGGCTGGTACATAGTAGGTGCTCATTAAATAGCGGTTGAATGATGGGTAGTTTCTTGCAGGTGAGTCATCTAGGGGAGCCTCTTAAATGCGGATTCCTGGGTCCACGGCAGACCTACTGAATTGTAATCTCTGGTAACAAAGCCCAGGTGACTGTCATGCCCTCCAGAATTTGAGATATGGTTATAGCATCTGAATAAAGCATTCTTCTATTATCAGAAGAAAGAAAAGGCTGATGTTTTTAATTTTGAGCATTTGTCACTAGTGACTATAGTATTCAAGTGAAAAATGTTCATTTTGCTGGAGCTGTTTCCGTGGAGCCTGGAGGAGTCTGGGCTTTGCCTCGTGTATGTGCAAGGCAAACTTTCACTAATCTTGGGAGAGGCAGGGCCAATAAAAAGGCAGAGCAGATAGGAGTGAGCCACATGAAGTCCAAGTTTGGCATTATTATTGCCCTTCACTTGGAAGTCATAAAATAAGAAATGTGCCACCGTTCCAGCTTCCTGGGAGGGGTTAGCTGGTGTGGGGTTTTTCTCAATTCCTTTCAAGGGTCTGTGGCTTGGACCAGATACAGGCTTGGGTTCAAATCTCAGCTGTGTCCCTAACTGTGTGGTCTTGGGCCGATCACTTCAATCCCCTGTAAGCTTTAGTTTCCTCCATTGGAAACTGGACATGAGAATGCGGACTCCTCAGGGCTGTTGGAAACAATCTGAGGTGACACACTCAGGTATCTGGCACCTGGGCAGTGTGGAAAAGCTCGATTTGGGCTGATACCTATAAACTGCATCATATTTGGGCTGGCGGGTTCAGGAGAGGTTCATTTAGCTCAGCTCTTTTGTTTTAAAGGGACACAGCCTTTAAAACAGCTTCTTTTGTTTAAAGGAAACAGCCTGACAGAGGGCAAGCGAACTGCACAAGATCACACCTAGCACCTGGGGTTTCTGGAGGGCTTCTATTTTCTTTTTCTTTTTTCTTTTTTAAGATTTAAAAAAATTTTTTTATTTATTTGACAGAGACACAGAGACACAGAGAGGGAACACAAGCAGAGGGAGTGGGAGAGGGAGAAGCAGGCTCCCCACTGAGCAGGGAGCCTGACGCAGGGCTTGATCCCAGAACCCTGGATCATGACCTGAGCTAAAGACAGACGCTTAATTGAGCCACCCAGGCGTCCCTCTACACCAGAGTTTTAAAGGCAAAAGCTGCTCTGGGCAACCGCTGTTGAGGCCTTCCCTGGGAGGCCCTGTCTGGTACTGCAGCTCTGCAAGGCCAAGGCCTGAGATGGCTGGCGTTGCGGACTCTCCTGGTCTGGCCTCTCAGCTACAAGGGGCTCAACACCAGTCCCTGGCCATGCTGGATCTGGCAGGGACATCTCGGGAAACTGTCCCGCAGGGCTCTGACAGGGGTCCATGGGCAGCAGCAGCAAAGCCCTTCATGCTAATGATGATGACCTTGGTGATGGTGATGCTGAGGGGGGAGGAACCCTCCTATTGGCCAGGTGCAGGGCCCAGCCATTTGTTTTATGTGCACAGATTTTTGCCACCCCCACAAGAACCCTACGGGGAGGAAACTGTGGCCCGGAGAGCTTAAGTAAATGACACCTTGGGCACATTGCTAGTGAGCACCAAGATTCAAATCCAGATCTACTGGACTCCAAGGCAGCCAGCAGCCCCTGGAAGAAAGGAAAGTAACACTGGCCTTCAAGGGACATGCATGTTATTCTCATTTTTACAGATGAGGGAACAGAGGACCAGAGTTTAGCTATTTTTCCCAGGAGGTCAGGCACTGTGCCAAGCACTTTGCATATATTACCTCTTCAATCATCCTGACATCCCTATGAAGTAAGTAATTCTATGATCCCCACTGATGCAGATGAGGAAATCGAGGCCTGAAACTAGATGACTTGCAAGGGTTCAAAACTGGGCAGTCTGACCAGGGGGCCCATGCTCTTGACTTCTTGAGTTGCCCAATGGGGAGACAAGATATAGCAGGGCTGGACCAGGCAGGACCCAGGACTCCTGACTCCCAGGCTAGTGCTCCAAGGCTAGATGTAGGCTGTCTGTTGGGATTCATTGTTCCTTAAAAGCGCGCTGGCCTAAAGCCCAAAGAGTGAAATCACGCCCTGCGGTTCTGGGAACCTCAGACTGGAGAAGACGGAAGCTCTTGCTCAGGAGTTCAAGTCTGAGCAGGTGGACGGAGGGCTCTCCCTGCTTCCTCATCTGGGGAGGGAGCCCACGCAGGGTGGGCCGGGTGGGGCAGCCCTCCCCAGTCCAGGGGAGGGGGGCTAGAGAGCAGGAGGCAGGCGTGCCCAATGAAACGCGCCTAAATCTTCCCGCGTTTATGCCTTTATTCAGGCGGTGCCCTCATCTACTGCCTGGCAAACAAACAGCAGGGCATGATGGTGAGAGTTCAAGGTTGCATTCAGGAAGCCTGAGTTCTGGTTCTGGCACCAATGACTCTGGGCGTTTTTTTTTTATCTGTTCAACGTGTGGTGGTGGTGGTGGGGGGGTGGGGGGAATCCAAATCCTCCGGGGTTTATGGTTAGCACATTATTTATTAGGCACCTACTATGTGCCAGGCACTGGAGACACAGTAAATGCAAAAGCAGATTCAGTCCCTGCTTTCATGGGTCTTAGAGTCTAGTTAGGAGAGACATGAAGAGCAAATCTTCACTAGAACAAATGTAAAAAGGCAGTTGTGACCAGTGTTCTAAGGAAAAGGCTTGTAGAGCTAAGGGAACCCATGACAGTGGGGGTGGGGGGAGAAGGAATGGGTTGACAGAGTGGCAGTGGGGAAGGATGCGCTGAAGATGCCGTTACTAGGTGAATGGCCACAGGGCGGGAGACAGCACTGTGTGTGTGGAAGCCCCTTGTGAGATGGTTCATCGAAGGAACTGGGAGGCCAGGGGGCCTGGAGAAGCCTGCACGGGCCTGGCCACCTCAAGGCATTGTGAGCCATGGTAAGGGAAGTCATTGAAGTTTACTGGGGGGGGGGGGGGGAAGGGGAGTGAAGGAAAACTTGAGGGAGACGGTCAAACTTAACAGAATATGGGCCAATGCGTCCTTTTTTTCAAAAGAGAAAAATGCCACCCCCTCTTCGAGCCTTCCCTGATTTCTCCACCTTTGACCTATGGTATTCCTCCCTCTATGGCCTTGCAGCTCAGGTAGAGAAACTCGAAACTCTGGGGCAGTCAGACCTGAGCTTTGTCTTCCTGCTATTGAAATGCACTGTGTGTTCCTGCTATTGACATGCACCGTGACTTCACGCGAAGTCCTCTGCCTTCTCGGGCCTCAGTTTCCCCAGCTGTGCAGAAGCAGGTTGTCTCAAAGGACCCGCCCAGCGCTAACGCAACGTGATTCGCTCTGGCAGGAGCAGGGGGCTGCCCGCATTGCTGCGCAGGCATCGGGCTGCTGGCTGGGGCATCGTCACCCGGCTGCGGGCGCTTTCCTCCCGGCCAGGGGCTGCGGGCGAGGACCGCGGAGCCAGACGTGGCGCAGGAAAGTGGGGGCGCGACCCCCGGCTGGCGCTGGCACCGCGCGGCCCCGCCCCCGCAGCCGGCGGCCCTGCGGCAGCCCGGGCCTGAGCTCCGCCCTCCGCCTCCCGCCGGCCTCGCTCCCTCCTCCCGCCTCCCTCGCTTGCTCGCTCGTTCCCTCCCCCCGGCCGGCTCGGCGCTGACTCCGCCGCACGCTGCAGCCGCGGCTGGAAGATGGCGGGGAACGACTGCGGCGCGCTGCTGGACGAAGAGCTCTCCTCCTTCTTCCTCAACTATCTCGCCGACACGCAGGTACGGCCAGCAGGGGCCGCAGGCCCGGGGCCAAGGTTGCTGAGCTGCGGGGGCTGCGGCCGCACCCGCGGAGGCCGGGGGGCAGCGGTGGGCGCATTGGGGGGAACTGGGGTTCCCGGCTGCAGAGCCCCCCTTCCATGCGCCCTGCGATGCTCTCTGTTACGAAGGCAGGGAGCCGAAGGCTCCCCCCCGCGCAAGCCGGAGCGTGGGGGGCGCTACGGCCGCCGGGGAGGGTCTAGCTTCGGTCGCTTGGAGTCCGCTCCCCCCGCCGGCAGAGGTGGGGGGTACCGCGTTTCCTTGGGGAGGTGGAGCCGCGCCAAGGTGTGGGGGACCCTCAGGCTGGTCCTGGGTGCCGGAGGCGCGCCCTCAGACTCCCGGCACTTGCTGCCGTACTTTCACGTGGACTTGTGGCCCCGGCTCAGGCGCCTGCCCCCGTCCCCGGAGTGCCCTGGTCCTCCGGTCTCCCGTGCCCCGCGTGCTGCTGCTGGCCCCCCGCGGCTCCCCGTCGGCGCCCGCAGCGCGGAGTTTCCTGCTAGTTGCCGGCTAAGGGCTTAGGGGGCTGCGGGGCACGTGGACATGCCGGCGGAGATAGCACCTTTCTGGTTTCGCTACCGGCGGAGCCCCCCGGGAGAAAACCACTGCAGGATGGGGGTGGAAAGACTGTCTGGGGACGCCTGGGTCCCCCTGCAGCGCGCGGCCCCGGTGCGCGCTCGGCGATGCTGGGGGAAGGGAACGCGAGGCGGCGTCCCGGGCTCTGGCTGAGCCTGGGAGCCCCACCGGCGACACGCGCGTGACAGGAGAGGGTGCTCTGGTGTGCCGGGGCGGCGGGGGATGGTGGTGCGAGGGAGCTGGTGACTTGGAGATGGGGTGGGGGGCTGCTGTTGGGACAAACCGCCACCGAAAATCCCTGCACTAGGCGTGCGCGCCCCCCACCCTTCCTTGGTTTTCCCCACCCGATGCCTGTTGCAAGCGTAAAGTTTGGCCCCATAGTTAGGGCTTTTTCTCTGGGCGCCTGGCTGCGGGTAGCCGGGAGGCTGGAGATGCGGCGGAGGCGAGAAGGAGACCCCGGATGCGGGCGCACGGCTGGGCGCGGAGAGGGGCCGCCGGGCGGAACCGGGCGCGGCTCGCGAGGGCTGGTTTGGTACCTGGAGTCGGAGCGCCGGTGCCGGCTCGTTTTGCATAACACTGGAAGGGAGGGGGAAGGCGGAGGGGGGCGGGCGGTGGGAGGAGAGAGAGGGAAACTTTGCTTCTTGTTATAATCTGCCTGTCTTTGGGCGGCAGCAGCTGTCATGAGACCGGGTGGGCGGGGAGAGGCTTGCAAGCCGACTCCTAGCCGTGAGACGCGACTTGGAGGGGACGCAGCAAGCCGAGACGTTCAGCTCCCGGCGGCGACTCCCGGCTGGCGGCTGGGACGGCGCGGCGCGGCGGGGTGTCGTGGAGAAGAAGCCCGCCACGCGCCGGAGAGGGCCGGCCCTCGCTCGCTGCAGACATCCATGCGTCAGGGAGCCTCGGGGCCTCGTGGTCGGTGGCGGGCGTGCTGGGGTGGTTTCGGGGCGGGGGCCTAAGGGGTGGTGGCGTGTGATCTCGCATTCTTCGGGCCGGGGGGGGGGGGGTAGTGTGTGATGAGCGGTCTGCGCGCGCGGGTGTGTGTGTTTGTGTGCACACGCCGCGCGCGCCAGGCGCGTACCTTTACCTCTGACGAAACTGCAGTGGAGCTCCCGCGGCGGTCACCGGGCGCCGTCGCCGGCCCCGCGCCCACGTCTGCTCCGATGGCAGATCCCAGCCCCAGCACCACCACCGCCCCGCTCCCCCCCCCCCCGCTTCCCCCTGCTTCCCCCCGCCCCCCGGCCCCGGCCGGCAGCCTGGGGCTAGAGGGACTGGGTGCGGGTGGGACCGAGTTTGCCCCCGGGAAAGTTCTGTCCTCAGCCCTCGCACTTGTCTGGGGGGGTGCCTCCAAACCTCTCGACTGAGACTTGGGTGAAGGAGGCCTGAAATAGCCGGAGACTCGTTCAGGGACCCCTAGCAAGAACTGTCTGTTCTGGACAGTGGTTTTAACTCCATCTTTGGTGTTCTTTGGCTCACCAATAATTAATTGTCCTTTTAGCCGCCCAGCAGGCTTACCCTGCAGAGATATTTCACCCAAGGAAACTAGAAAATTGGGTAATCAGGTGTCAGCAGAAGCAGTGCAGTGAAAGTTAATCTGGGACGTTTGCTTTTTTTATTTAACCACGTGACAGGCTGAGGCTCCTCTGGTGATCTTTGCCGGCCCAACTTGGGAAATGTAATTGATAGGGGAGCTTTGCCGCCACCCCTAGAAGGTTCATAGAGCCCAGCCGGAAGAGGACCTGGGCGGGCTATCGCGTGCCTCCTCATTTTACAGTTGGGGATAGAGGTTGCGAGGGGTGAGCGACTTGTACAGGACCACGCAGCCAGCGGGTGACAGAGCCACCCAGGGCTCCTGACTCCAGGTCCTGTGTGTTACCTCGAAATAGCACTGGACTTGGAGTCAGAAGGCCTGAGTGGAGTCGCCTTCCCCACTCTCTGGCTGGGTGACCCCAGAGCAAGCCATTTTAACTCTCCGAGCCTCCTTTCCTCCATCTGTCAAATGGGGCTGGTGTTGCAGGCAAGAGAAGAGGAGGTCGAGGTGGTGGGGGTGAGCACTGCTTGCGTGTGAGATGTCTGGTTGTTCCTGCGAGTCCCTCTCCTCCTCCAGCCCCTCCCGGACCCTCCCCTTCATCTCTCCCCATGGAAGGGATGGGCAGAGTGAATAAAAAGGTAATTTATTGTCTTTATCTGAAAGACTTGTCTTTGGTGGCTAATCCAGAGTCAGATAGAGGGAAGACTTCTGTTTAGGAGACTTAACTTTTACCCATTCAGGCCAAAGTTCAGAAAATCTGCGGACCAAGGATTGTGAAAGTTTCTTGGGCAGGTTTGGGGCATGTATCCCAGAGGACTTTGGGTTGGCTTCACCTTTGCCCAGCCTGTGCCCCTTGCCTCCACTGCCCTCACCCACCATTCCTGCATGGCCTTCTCCAGCAGGCCTTCCTTTCCCCGCTTGCCCTGCTTTCTGACTCTTCTGGTTTTCTTAGCCTGTGTTATACAACCAGGCACTTTTTGTGTGTGAGTCCTGTGGCCCAGTAGGATTCTGGAACTAGAGTTGTGCCTTTGATCTCTTTGTGCCCCCATGGCACCTGCCACCATGCCGAGTTCCTTTCCTCAGTCCTTGGCATGTGAATTTCAGACAGGGGAAGCTCCCAGGCTGGCCCCTGAGACAGCTGGGCAGTGACTATGGGTAGAGAGGAATGCAGAAAGCTACAGCTGTGGGGCCATGACTTTGGCTCCAAAGACCACACAGTAAGCCCACACTAAATACGGGTTGTCTGAAGTCACTTGGGACATCAATCATAGATGCCCCAAATGTCAGAGTTGGCAGCAACTTTATAAATCATGTGGTCCAATCTCTTATCATTGAAAAATATTTAATAGGTAGAATTGTTAGAAAATACTGGCAAGCATAAAGAAAAATTGAAAATATGTAATCTTACCCAAGGGTAACCACTATTCATTTTTATATATATTTCCAGACTTTTTTTCCCCTACCAATTCCTATGGATTATATCGGTTGCACAAAAATGGAGTCTTTGATCATATATTCATTGTAACTTGGAATCATACTGTTGTAATTTGCTTTTTTTCTCCTCCAAACAATATGCTGTGATTGTTTTACCACATCAATAAATATTCTACTTCATGTCTTCATATCTGAATGGTTATATAGTATTTTATTGAGGGTTGAACCACAATGTATTTGACCAGCCCTTTGTTGTTAGTCACTTAATTTGTTTATAATTTTTGTTGTTGTTCTTGTAAGCCTCGCTGAAAAATGAATGTCTCTGCATATGTCTTCTTTCCTTCATTTGAATTCCTAGAAGTGAAATTACTCTGTCAAAGGAAGTATGCAGGCGTTTGGTAAACACATTTCTGGATTGCCTTCTAGAAGGATTGTGCTAATTTACACACTTACCAGCATTGTGTGGGAATGCCTGGTTCCCCATAGCCAAATAACTCTTGGTATTTTAATTGTTTCTCATTTTTACCAGTTTGTTCATCAATAAATTCTTTTACCCTTTTGTTTTAATGTGCATTTCTTTGATCACTTGTGATGCCTCCCCCCCCCCCCCCCCCCCTGATTATGGACCATTTTTGGTTGTTCTGTGAAATGTCGTGTTTGTGAATTTGGCCCATTTCTCAATGGGTGTCCTGTTCCCCCATTGTTCTAAAACTGGATCTGAGTACTCAGAAGGCGCCCCATCACTCAGAGACTCGGGCACATGGCTTGAACATCTAGTGTTCAGTTCCTGGGTCTGCAGTACGGCTGCTCCCACAGCCCCTGAAGCCCGGGCTCGCTTCTTTTCCAAGCCAACGTGACAGGCCTGTGGAGGGGCAGGTTGAAGTGCAGCCTTGGCTGGGTGCCTTTGCCCACCCTTCACTTGTGTGAGAACAGGGGGAGTAACTTCTTCACCTGGGCCCAGAAGGGGACAGGTTTGCTGGCTTCGTTCACCACAGGCGGGAGCTCTGCTTTCACTGGGGCTCCCTGGCTGGTACGAATGATCAGGATGCCTGTGGAACCGGGAGAGGCAATGGCCCGGCAACGGGGCCCTAGGGGCTCATATTTCCCCTTCACCTTGGGGCTCTCCTCTCCCCAGCTGGTGCAGGCCAGCCAGAAGCTCCACCATTGCCAGGGGATGAGTCACCCTTTTCCCTCTCTCTCTGGAATAATAGAAGGAATACTGGTTTGAGTCAGAAGCAGCCTTGCAAATGGGGGCTTGGGCTTAGAAGTGAGGTCATAACATGAGCATTGCAGTGTTAACAGCTAGCTCCTCCTGCATCGTCCACGACATTTACTTGAGCATCCTTTTGATGCCGTGCACACTGCCAAGCCTTCTTTTTGCATTGTTGCATTTTATCCTTGTAAAGATTCTACAAAGTGTAGGTCCCAG